GACTGAGTGGGCCTGAATGGTCACATTGCTTCAGCAGAAGCAAAGGAATACTATTATTTAAATGAAAGTATTTCTACAAAAGAGCTCAGTGTCTTCACAATTCTCTGACTAAACATGCAAAAATCATTTAGAAAAACTATGGAAGAGATTATTTTACCCCTGTCTCTTTTTTTGAAGTTGATTCTCTTTTTTCCTCTCAATAAATGTCCATGTTGCAAGCAAAAACAAAAACATTACACCAGTCACTCTTACAGCAGCATAGGAACAGAAACACTGCCCTAACAGCTGTACTCATAAAACAAACAAAAAAGAAAAACACAAATGTCATAGAAACTATGTTCTAATGGTTGAAAATGTGAAAAGGGGAAGAATAAAAGCTAGAAAATTTCATATACCACATATTTCAATACTAAAGGTGTGTTTAATAATTATAAGTAAATAACTTTGTTCCTAAAAGCAAGTAGCTCACAATTTCCTGCTGGCTGATTAACCCTTTAAAACAGGCCAAAGTCCCTAAAATCAAACTGGTTTGACTGTAAGACAAACTGATAATAAAAACCAACAGCATATTTTCACAACAAAAGATACACAGACACTAAAAGTAAAGGGATGGAAAAGATATTTCATACAAATGGAATTTTAAAAAACAGGGGTAGCAATACTTTTATCTGACAAAATAAACTTTAAAACAAAGGCTACAGTAAGGATACTATATACTGATAAAGGGAATAATCCAGCAAGAGTAAATAACCCTTGTAAACATTTACACATCTAACACAGAAGCATCTAAATATGTATAGCAAATCTTTTTTTTTTATTCTCACCCGAGGACATTTTTGTGTTTATCTTCAAACAGAGCGGGAGGGAAAGAGGGGAGAAAAGAGAGAGAGAGAAACATCACTGTGAGAGAGACATCGACTGGTTGCCACCCACATGACCCCAACCAGGGCCGTATACAAACTGCAATGGAGGTACATGCCCTTAGCGGAAGCCGGAAGCCGAACCTAGGAGACTCTAGTCCGCAGGCTGACGCTCTAACCGCTGAGCCAAACTGGCCAGGGCTGTAAAGCAATCTTGATGGACATGAAGGGAGAGACCGGCAGTAATACAGTCATAATGTTGGATAGATCTTCCAGATAGAAAATCAACAAGGAAACAGTGGCCTTAAATGACACACTAGATCAGATGGATTTAATTGGTATCTTCAGAAACACTAATTCAAAAGAATATATGCACCCCTATTTTCATTGCAGTGTTACAGTAGCCAAAATTTAAAAGCAGCCCAACTGTACATCCGTAGATGAGTGGATTAAGAAACTGTGGTACATTTACACAATGGAATACTACTTGGCCTTAAAAAAAGAAGGAAATCTTGCCCGCCAGTGTGGCTCAGTGGTTGAGCATCAACTCATGCACCAAGAGGTCACCAGTCCGATTCTCGGTCAGGGCACTTGTCCAGGTTGTGGGCCCAATCCCCAGTGTGGAACATGGAGGAGGCGGCCAATTGATGTTCTCTCTCATCAATGTTTCTATCTCTCTCTCCCTCTCTCTCTCTAAAAATCAATAAAGAAAAAATATTTTAAAAAAGAAGAAAAGCTTACCTTTTGTGATGGCATGGATGGACATAGAAAGTATTATGTTAAATAAAATAAGCCAGTCAGAGAAAGTACCATATGATTTCACTTATATAGGGAATCTAGTAAACAAAATAAAATAGAAACACTCATAGATAGAGAACAGACTGACAGCTATCAGAGGGGAAGGGCATTGGGGAAACTGGGTAAAGTTGAAGGGATTAAGCAAAAAAAAAGAAAAAAGAAAAAAACTCATGGACATAGGTAACGACAGTATGGTGATTACCAAAGGGAAAGTGGAGGTGTGGGGAGGTAGAAGAGTAAAAGGGGGAAATAAATGTATGATTGAATTGCAATATACAGTGATACCTCGGTTCTTGAACATAATTCGTTCCAGGAGGACGGTCGAGAACCGAATTGTTCGAGAACCGAAGCAATGAAACCAATAGGAAAGCGTGACTCCACAAAGCGTGACTCTCTCTCTGCACTCACACTGATGACGCAAGCAAGGCGCGCTGGGCCGAATGAACGCCATTCGGCTCAACTCGGCTCATCTCGGAAGTTCGAGTTCCAAATATTTGTTCGGATTCCGAGACAAAAGTTTCTCGAATCTCCATTTGGTCGAAAACCGAGGCGTTCGAGAACCGAGGTATCACTGTATTCACCCTTGAAACCTACATAATTTTGTTAACCAATGTCACCCCAATAAATTCAATAAAAAAAGAAAAAACAAACAAAATTAATTGATTGATTAATTAATTAAAGTGAGAGTCCTAGGGAATTCTTGACCTCCCTGACATACATTTGACCTTGTGGAGCTTCACAAACAATGATGTACTTTACTTATCTTTGTGAGTCACAGTTTGGGGGACTTACTGTCAACAAAACAATGTTGAAAGTGATTAGACAGCAAAAATGATGTTGTCATACAAAGACAGTTTTGAAATTTCTTTTTTTTTATTTAGTCAAATAACAGCAGGCTTCTTGCTGAAATCTGTATTTTAGGAAACCTAAATTTTTACACTTTTTATTTATTTGCAAAATTGAGATTTATTTCCTTTTTAAAAAAGAAGTGGCCATGTTTTGCAGGGAAAAAATGAGAAATAATTCTTTGTAAAACTGTATGAAGGAAATCAAATTTCCATGCAATGATGTAAATCACAAGCAAAATTTTGTTTGTATTGCCATGTATATCAGGACTGATAGCTTTCATCAGATGATCAGATATCAAAAGAGGATAAAGCCCTGGCCAGTGTGGCTAAGTTGGTTGGAGCCGTAGCCCATACACCAAAAGGTGGCAGGTTTGATTCTTAGTCAGGGAGCATATCTAGGCTGTGGGTTGCATCCCTGGCTGGGGCACATATGGGAGGCAACAAATAGAGATGTTTCTCTCTCACATGGATGTTTCTCTTTCTCTCTCCCTCCACTTCTCTAAAATCAATTTTTTAAAAAAGAGGATTAAAAATAATTGCCATGCCTGGCTGGTGTTGCTCAGTGGTTGAGCGTCGACCCATACACCAAGAGGTCACAGGTTCAATTCCCAGTCAGGGCACATGCCCAGGCTGTGGACCAAATCCCCAGTGGGAGGCATGCAGGAGGTGGCCAATAGATGTTCTCTCTCATCAATGTTTCTATCTCTCTCCCTCTCCCTTACTCTTTCTCTAAAATCAGTAAAGAAAATAAATAAATAATTGCCATAATGAGTGGGGAAAGGTATAGTAGATAAAATATGTTAAGGGGTCATAATTTCTTTCTGCCACTTACTAGCATGATTTAGGGAGTATAAAAATATGAGTTTTGTTGGTAAGAATGTGGCTAATAATTTTAATCAAATATAGGAGTTGTAAAGATTTGATGAGATCAGGTATATGCCTGGCACACAAGTAGGCACTTAACAAACGTACCCTTTCTGCTCTCCAATTATGCCCTTTGCCTGATATTCAAAACCATTCATAATCTGGCCCTGACTCAAATTCGCATCACTCCATACATTTTGCTTTATATCCCAGCAGCCATGAGCCTATTGTATAGTTTCTGGCAAGTTCCTTCTTTCTTTCCTATAAAATAGGTACCTGCATCGTGGAATCACATTTAAAGTATTTGGAATAGTGTCCTGTGCATAATACACATTCAATAAATGTCAACTAGATAACCCTGGCCGGTTTGGCTCAGGGGTTAGAGCGTCGGCCTGCGGTCCAGAGAGACCCGGGTTCAGTTCCCGCTAAGGGCACGTACCTCAGTTGCAGTTTGTCCCCAGCCCTGGTTGGGTTGTGTAGGTGGCAACCACTCGATGTGTCTCTCTCACGTCGATGTTTCTCTCTCTCCCTCTCCCTCCCACTCTATCTGAACAAAAAATGGAAGAATGTCCTCGAGTGAGGATTAAAAAAAAAAGTCAACTAGATATAATTTTTTAAAAAGGGAAAGAAAACAACAGCATAGGAGAAATAACTTCATCTTGCATATCTATAAAGCCTTGTCAGCTTTTGAGGAATTTTCACATTCATTCCTTCATTTAACCATCAAATATTTGATGGCATCACTAAAAAGGCTAGTTGTTTTCACAAAACAGGAAATACCATCGAATCTGGATTAGTCATTTTTTCTTTGCTCTCTTCCTACACGTCACTGTTTTGTAATGTTTTCTTTTAGAGTTATTATATATGCTTTTCCCTCCTAATATAGTTCTTCTTTGTTTCCCTTACTACCCACACATGAGGTAGTTTAATAAGTGCTTGCTCAATGAGTTTCCTGTGCTTAAAATATACTTCTCCCACATTAATTAGGATAGTAAATTCTATACTTCAAATTTTATTTTAAATGTCCCTTCTACCAGGATCCAAGGTCGACACACTAAAAACAGTTGTGTTTCTTTACACCTGCAATGAACAATCCAAAAAGGAAATGAAAATAATTCAATTTACAATAGTATTCAAAATGAAATACCTAAGAAGAAATTTAACCTACAAGATGAAAGACTTGTACACTGAATATTACAAAACACTGGTGAAAGAAACAGAAGAAAACCTACATAAATGGGAAGACATCCCATATTCATGGGTTAAAGACTTAATATTGTTAAAATGGCAGTATTAGACAAAATGATCTCAAGATTCCATAAAAATTCCAACAGCCTTTTTGCCATTAGAGACCAATACTCAAATTCATATGAAATTTCAAAGGGCTCCATAGAGCCAAACAATATTGAATAAGAACAACTGTTAAAGAATGCACACTTCCCCACTTCAAAAGAAAGAACAATCTATTCAACAAATAGTGCTAAGACAATAGGATATCCAAGTGCAAAAGAATACAGTTGAATACCTACTTCACACCATATATAAAGTAACTCTATTTGAAATAGTGCTGTTATGAACATGTACATATAGTTTGAGTGCTTATTTTTACTTCTTTTGGGTATATACCTACCTAGGAGTGGGATTGCTGGCTCATATGGTGATGCTATGTTTAATAATTTGAGGAACCATCCAAATGTCCATCAATGAAAGAACGAGGAAGCAAATTGTGGTACATTCATGCAATAGGTATTATTCAGCTTCTAAAAATGAATGAAGTACTGAAACATGCTGCAAGGTGAAAGAACCTTGAAAACATTGTGCTAAGTAAAAGAAACCAGACACAAAATGTCACATATTGTCTGATTACTTTTATATGGAAATATCCAAAACAGATAAATTTATAGAGACAAAGCATAGATTGGTGTTTGCAGAGGCCTTAGGGATGAGGAAATGGGGGCGAATGTTTAATGTGTACGGGGTTTCCTTTCGAGGGTAACAAAAACGTTTTGGAACTAGATAGAGGTGATGGTTGTAGAACACTGTTATAAATAATCCCTTCTCTTTTCATCAACATTCTGTATTTATTTGCATTTCAAATACATAAACTCTGCCCTGGAACTTTATTTTGTGTGTGGATCATTTCATCTTGCCTAATCCTGAAGTACCTCTCTCTCCCAGTTCCATCCTTGTTATACTATACCTCTTTCTCTTCCTAGAATAAACTTTTTGGAATACATTTTGCTGGAATCCTTTAGGAAAGAGAAATGGACACAAAAACTTTATGATACATATGTTGATGTTATCCCTACTCTGAATTAACTGTTAACATATACAGTTAATTTATTTTTTATTTGTAGTAGTATATCAGCATCTTACACTAAATAAACTAATCTATCTGATGTGATCAAGCAAATATCAGTGCTTTTTAATGTCTCCAAAATCAAATTAGTGTCAGTGGGTAAATCATACAGCCTAAAGTAAAACATTAGTAAACAACTAAGAAAATAAAAAATTTTGAGTTGTTTTTCAGCCATATGTTTCGTTTTTAGATAAGTTAGTTATCTGAGAATTTAGCACATATTTTTCTAGTACATTTTAATGAAGATTCTTTATTTATACCTTCATATCACCTTTCAAATTACTGAAGTCCCAAGACAAAACAACACATAAATTAGATGCTGTCCTACAAGTCTTAACTATGAATTTAATTAGCAATACAAACAGAACTCTTATATTTAAAGGGTAGTTAATTACAGAACATGAGACTTTAAAAGAGGTCACAGGAAGATTTTTATGTGCATAGTTATTTCGTCCCACCAAGAGAGTTACCTGCAATGCACCTGTTTAAAAGCCAGGGTTAACACAAAGTCATTCATTTGCACGTGATCAGAGGGCAGAAATAGCTGTGCTATTAAAAATGTTATTTTAGCTCTGGTCGGTTTGGCTCAGCAGTTAGAGCGTTGGCCTGCGGTTCAGAGAGCCCCGGGTTCGGTTCCCGTTAAGGGCATGTACCTCGGTTGCAGTCTGTCCCCGGCCCTGGTTGGTCGTGTGGGTGGCAGCCACTCGATGTGTCCCTTTCACATCGATGTTTCTCTCTCTCTCTGTTCCTCTCTCCCCCTCCCACTCTATCTGAACAAAAAATGGAAAAATGTCCTCGGGTGAGGATTAAAAAAACAAAAACGTTATTTTAAAAATACTGATTCTAGCCCTGCCCGGTGTGTGGCTCAGTGATTAGAGTGTTGGCCCACGGACCAATGAGTGGCAGGTTTGATTCCGGTGGATTGCGGTTGCGATTCGACCCCGCCCTGATGGGGTTGTGCAGGAGGCAGCCACTTGGTGTGTCCCTTTCACATCAATGTTTCTCTCTTTCTCTCTCTTCCTCTCTCCCTCCCACTCTATCTGAACAAAAGTAAAAAAGCGTCCTCAAGTGAGGATTAAAAAAAATAAAAATACTGATTCTAATGTGGCATTTAGCCAAACATATCACCTAAATAGCAAAAATTACCTTTTTAAAGAAAGGCCTAATTTAAAAAAAATTTAAAGACATAGTTAAAACTCTATGCCCAAAGCCATCCTTGCTAATAACTGCATTGTGAAATAAAATGACCCTGATCCTAATCTCTTATCAGTATTTAGCAATAGCTTCTTCATAACAAAACGATGTCTCTATAGAGCATACATTTACAATAAAAACCTTAGCTATCCAGGAAATGACTAAATAAAAAACAATTATGTTTACAAAATTCTAATTCATTTTAAAGGGGTGTATATATTCTAGCTCTTCAATTAGGAAAAAATGAGAACCTTTATATGTATACTAACTCCTATCACTGATTCAGAAAAAAATACAATATGCTGTTGTCTTCAGCTTTCCCTGAAAAATCTATTTTTACCTTAAAAACCAGCCTCTTCCATTAATACAGAAATCTAAAACCATCCAATTATGTGTACATATATTTCTAAATGTCCACCATTTGAAAATGGAATATCAATACTTATGAAGTTCAACCATGTATCTAAATGGACTAAATATTTTAAGTCTGCTCAGAGGAATTTTAAGAGTGAAGTAGGGGTTAACAGTAATGAGAAACCAAGGCCTCCTTAGGAAGGATCAAGAGGAAATGGTAACTTTTGGAAAATCCCAAATATTTTAAACACAGGAACATATCCAGTTCTGACAAGCTATATGGCCATGGCCTAAGTGCTTCCATCTTCAGTAGCTGTTCAAACAAGCAATCCTTTACAAGTTTGACAGAGAACAGAATTCACTTCCCCTATCCAGCTGCACTATTTCAAAGTTCCTTAAACATAAGTGTGACAAGATTGATTTTTTGGAGCACAGATATTTATTGTATTGTCCTAAAGGACCTAATTTAAAAATAAATAAGGGTGTATGAGGTTGGGCAGGGAGAAAGAAGGGAGGAAGGGCAAAGTCAAAAGGGAAAACAAGAAAATAGGATAATGAAAGCCATACCTTTACACTAATGCATATGACATATTTAGATGCTCTTCTTTTTAAGTTGTTTTGTGAGTGTGTGTGTAGTATTAAAAACAAAACCATTGTTTACGAACAATCCATCAAAGAAAAACTGATAAATAAAAAGACAAACCAGCCCTGGCTGGTTTGGCTCAGCGGTTAGAGCGTCAGCCTGCAGTCCAGAGAGACCCAGCATCGGTTCTCATTTGCAGTTTGTCCCCGGCCCTGGTTGGGTTGTGCGGGTGGCAGCCACTCGTGTCCCTTTCACATCGATGTTTCTCTCTCTCTCTCTCTCCCTCCCACTCTATCTGAACAAAAAAATGGACCCTGGGAGTATTTACAAATCAACATATCTGATAAAAGACTTCTAATCAGAATATATCAAGAACCCTCGAAAGTCTACACTAAGAGAACAAACCAATTTTTTTTAATAGATGAAAAATTTTAATAGGCTCTTCACCAAAGAATATATATAAATGGTAAATAAGTTCATAAAAGCAGGCTCAACATCATTGTCATCAGGAAAATGCAAACCCAAACCACAACTAGATATACCACAACACACCCATTAGAAGGGAGGAAGAAAAAACCTGACAATACCAAATGTTGACAAGGATACAGAACCAACTAGAATTCTCATACACTGCTGCTAGGGATGCAAAATGATACAGCCACTTTGGAAAATGATTATAAAGCTTAACAAGTTAAGTTTAAAAGTAAACAAATTTAAACTTACCTCCCAAACTAGCAAGCCCACTCTTTGATATTTATCTATGAGAAATGAAAATTTATGTTCATACATTCTGTAGCCAAAAGCTTATAGCAGCTTTATTTAAAATTGTCAGAACCTGGAAACAACCCAAACATTCTTTAATTGGTGAATAGTTAAATAAACTGTGGTACAACCACACTATGCAATAAAAAGGAATGAAATATTGATACACACAACAGGCAGACTCAAAAATGTGTGATTCCATTTATATGACAAGAAAAGGTACAACTACAGAAACAGATCAGTGCTTATGAAGGGCTAAAAATGATGGCTGGGGATTGACTAAAATGAAGCACAGTAAAATGTGTGTGTGTGGGAGGGGGGGTAATGGTGGTTACTTGACCATTACTTGTTTATATACATTTGTCAAAACACACATTTTAAAAATAGATTGCAGTACATGTTAATTAAGGTCAAGAAAATGCTGGCCATCATTAAGAGTATACTGGAAAAAAAGCACTCTTTACCATGTTATAAAACTTTTTTTCCCATCACTTTTATATATGCAATACTACTGGATACAATGAAAAAAACTAAGTAAAGAAGACTCGAAGAATGGCACAAAAATGATCAAGGGGTGGGTGTTGCTACATGGTACTCACTCCAGGCAGAAAGACAAGGACTAAAAGTAGATATGACTAAAGTCTATTACCAGGAAAAATACGGATGGGAAGAACATTATCTTGGTTGCCAATTCCAGGACACTAGGAAAAAAGGTTCAATTATTACTTAAAATTTTCGAGTTTTACATTTTTAGGACAAACTAAGAGCAAACTTACAAAAATTAATTCCTCACCTAATAAACAGAAAGGAGTGGGAGGAAGAAAAAACAGTATAAGCAAAAACTGTATAATATTTGGGAAAAGTGTTTTTAATCAAGTTTAATTTGAACATAACAGCAATTCTAAACTTTTAAGGAAAATTGTCATTTTTTTGGAGAGAAAATGTGGCGGATTGGAAACAGCAAAAAACTTAAGAGTCCAGGGACATCTGAGAACTAAATTAGATGTTACATACGTAAGTCCATAAATGGCAAAGTGTAAAAATATAATAAATAGTTGTTATTATACTCGCTCTGAGCCAGAAATGATGAACATGAGAATTTTTAAGCCAGTAGGCTAATCCTACAGATGATTATTGTCATAAGGTCATAAATGGAAGAGCTAAGACTTGAAACCCAATTTATCTGACACCACAGTCTAAGCTTTGACCCCTACATTATTCCATTACCCAACAGTTCTTAAACAATTTTATACCAATGAATTTAAGGAACAAAGCAATATCCAATGCTGCCGGAAGGTTTTATGAGCTAAATGGAGTTGTTGTTTGCAGTCTATGCTACACCACATGGGATGATCATCTCTCTCTGCAAACTCTCATGTGGTCACAAGCGTGTGTGTTGCACTTCTAGGCAGGCTTCAGTTACAGTGGCCAAATGATGTGGTTATTTAGCAATATCTATGCTGGCCTAACACTTTGTAGTTTTTTTCCATTTTAATATGCATTATTTCATTTGAGGCACATAGTCACCCAGTAGGGATATATAATATTAATTGGTACAGAAAAATACATTCACTTCAATGCAATGAATGCTCATGGAACATCGACTTACACCATAGGTGACTTTTTAAAACAGGCCTAACACTGTGAAGAATAAGCCCAAAGAAGGAAGTCCCGTTCTGGTGAAAACAAGAAATCACTACATATAGCCAATTTTATTTTTTCCTTTGTATGATCATCTATATAGTTTCTAAAGCATCTAACTCAGTACCAAATTATATAGCACATTCTTTTTTAGCCCACATGGTATTCTTTCACAGAAAAACACCCTCGTCTTACGAACTTCTAAAATGTTGCTCATTTTTTCCCATGGTGCTGTTTTTCAAATACAGACATAAATGTTTTTTTAAATCCTCACCCTAGGATATTTTTCCATTTATCTTCAGATAGAGCAGAGGGAGGGAGAGAGGGAAAGAGGGAGAGGAAGAGACGGAGAGAGGGAGAGAGGGAGAGGTCGAGAGACACATCGATTGGTTGCCTCCCCCATGACCTGACCAGAGCTGGGGACCAAATCGAAACCAAAGTACGTGCCCTTGACCAGAATCAAACCTGAGACTCTTTGATCCAAGGGCTAATGCTCTAACCACTGAGAAAAACTAGCCAGGGCCAGATATAAATGTTTTTAAGATGCCTTTCAAGAATTCCACACTAGAAACAAGGTTCTTTCTGCCTACAGAAACTATTGCTGGTAGCAGAGAACAGAAAACAGTTTTCTTTCAAAATGGAAAGAAAGAAAAGCAAAGGGGGGAAATGAGTAAATACAACAATGAAAAAAGATAAATAAAAAGACATGGAAAGAGCCCTGGCCAGTTTGGCTCAGTAGTTAGAGCGTCGGCCCGCGGACCAGAGTCCTGGGTTCGGTTCCCGCGAAAGGCACATACCTCAGTTGCAGTTTGTCCCCAGCCCCAGTTGGGGTCGTGTGGGTGGCAGTCAATGTGTCTCTCTCACATCAATGTTCTCTCTCTCTATTCCTCATTTTCTTGCCCCCCGACCCCGCTCTATCTGAAGATAAATTCAAAAAAATGTCCTTGGGTGAGGATTAAAAAAAAAAAGACATGGGAAGAGCCCTGATCAGGTAGCTCAGATGGTTGATCGTTGTTCCGATATGCCAAAGTTTCAGGTTTAATCCTCAATCAGGGCACATACAAGTATCAACCAATGAATGCATGAACAGGTGGAACAATAAATCAATATCTCTCTGTTCCTCTCTCGCAATCAATAAAATTTTTTTTAAAAAGACGTAATTGTGTCAACAATAAAAATAAATTTTTTAAAATAATAAAGTAATACATTCCTCACTCTTCATTCTTTAACTATCCTTTTGTTTTTCTTTTAGCACTCATTAATATATAATAGGCACATATAATTTACATAACATAATACAACATGCATTCAATAGATTGTTGTTGAATATTGTTTGAATGAATAGTACAAAAAGTAAAAATAAAAAATTTTAAAGACATTGAAAGATATTACCCAGTGAAACCATTAGGTGAAAGGGCCCTAACAATCACCATTCATTTTAATGAAAGACGGAGGGGAGGGGCCGAGTGGGCAAGAGGTAAATGAGCAAACGCTTAATGAATTACCTGAGCCTGCCCCTCCTCAGGGAAAAGGGCTCGAACAACAGTTACTAAAGCTAGGAGCCTGTGCCTCTCTCTCCACCAGCATCTGCGCCCTCCTCACTGCCAGCCTCAAAGGCCACAAGATGGATTTCCAGCCTCCCAGCTGAACCTAAGCAGATTCCAAAGATCCCATGAGAGCCCTCACACCACCAAAGTGCTCCTCACCAAGTTCTAAGGAGAAAGTGGTACCTAAAAAGTGAGGTCTCAGGACTTGAGGGACCCAGGTTGCTCTAAAATGGTAAAAGACTGGAGGGGAGGGAGGTGACATTTAGAGTACTGGTTCACAGAGTTCCTATAGCAGGATCTGCATAATTTCTAACAATATTACACTAAGAAATAATAATATAAAGGATGCCAAATGTCTCCATGTGAACTAGTTAAAATATGGCCTTAGTCACAGCTTAGTAAGAAAGGCCTCAAGGCTCAGATATTTAGCCCAATATACAAGGGCCTTGATAAGAAAAAAAAAGTGTGTCTAAGTGTGTGTTTAAAAATGATAGTTGTCAACCTAAAATTTACAAATGGTTTTTATTCTATCATGAGGTTTTAATTCTTTATTATTTTTCCCTAAGCACTCAATTCCAAATTGTATTTCCATTGCCTGCATAAGTACACATCTATAAATAACATTCACAAAACAAGCAAGAAAAACACTCTACAAAATTAAGCAGCCATTGGTGGGTGTGTGTGTGTGTGTGTGTGTGTGTGTGTGTGTGTGTTTAATTACTTGGAAGCTTGGAGTACTTATTAAATGCTTGCTGTTCTTTTCTAGAATTCTGATTTTAGCAAAGATGGAATCCCAGGAGAACTCTAGTGGCTACAATTCGCACACTTTGGCAGAATACTAGTCAAAACTTGGACCTTGTAGTTCTGAGATAAGGACACCTTTTATCCCTAAATGTGCTAAAGACTCATAAAGGCAAAAGGCTCATGCAGAATAACAGTGCTCAGTACACTCCTCACCTATGCACAACCACCTGTGCTGTAACTGACCAGCACAGCAGAAACCTGTAGTTCTCCTAATGGGAAAGAAGAGTTACCCAATCATGTCTGACTTGATGCGCAACTTTCAAACACAACACCAACTCCTTGGGTGACAAGGAGGATTCTTTTCCAGATATAAATGCAAGTTACTAGAAAGAAGCCCAGATTTTCCTTCAACCATCACTATTCCTTTAATACAAACTACTAAAAACCTTCTCATTGCCCTCTTCTGTATGCTGACCTTGTTTCAGTTTCTGTGCTTCATTAAAAGGCACTGAATACTGTTTTGAAATAAAACAAATTCAAAATAACAGCATTTGAGAGGTTAACGTGAAAACTTTTGTGCCGATTTCTGAAGCTCTGTGGGAATAATGGTATTAAGCGTTACTATTTTTCTCCTTTGTTCCCCAGGAGGTGGAATGCATTTCCAGATACAGTGAAAAGACTACCAACAGAGTAACAGTTACACCAATAACATATATAAATAGGACTGCTGAGAGTATAACATAGATTTTGGAGTTACTGCACAGAGGGACCAATAATCACAGTACTCCAGCTTTTAGTAAAAACCAGTTCACAGGTACAAACGGTCTTAATTTAAATGTGTGATCATTAGTTTCCATGCATTAACTAGTACCATTCAAAGTGTTTGAAAATTCACTCTGTAAAATAATCACATATCTGAATGTTAAGGATTTAAAAAAATATTTCTATTGACTTTTAGGAAGAGAGGAAAGGAGAGGGAGAGAAACACTGATGTGAGAGCAAGACAATGATTGGCTGCCTCCTGCAATGCCCCCTAGCAGGGCTTGGGCAGTAGCCTGGGTATGTGCCCTGACTGGAATCAAACCAGCAACCTTTCAGTGTATGGGGACAACGCCCAACAAACAGAGCCAAACAGGCCAGGGCTAAATGTTAAAGATTTTTAAAGGTATTTTTTAAAAGGAACTGAAGTGAAAACCTTTTTTTTTGGTGGTGGTACGTGCCCCTAGCAGGAACCGAACCCAGGACTCTCTGGTCTGCAGGCCAATGCTCAACCGCTGAGCCAAACTGGCCAGGGCTGAAGTGAAAAACTACTAAAAATACCTCACTGGAATGAAAATAACACAGATACCAATAAAACATGCCCAATCCATACCAAGATTTCAACATATCATTCCCCAAAATCAACACTGCTACAGCTCAATATTCTCAACTATAAATGACATTTGACCAATATTTCTAGCTCTAAAAATCTATGACTTTATGAATTCTACATGTTTCATTATGTGCAAAATACTGTTAAACAAAAATAGATGTTATAGAAATGAACTGAAAATAAGATTCAGCAGAAGACACAGGCCTCTGCTCTCAGGAAGATTTCAAATGAAGACAAGAAATGAGACAAATAAGACAAGAGTTTAATACTAATGTTATAACACAATGCAAGGTATGACAGCTTATATGCTAAATGGGACATTGAAGGAACAGTAGCAACAATTTCATCAAATGTAAAATAAAAGCTTGCTGGCTTGTTCTGAAAAGTTAAATGAGGCCTAACCTTCTAACTGTGAAGCATGCATAGATTTGGTTAGTCAGAAAGGCTAATAGTGCCACCAGCAAGGAACACTCAATGTGGCTAAAGAAGTCTGGCTAAAGTACTAGGCTCATGTTCATGGCAAAGAGGTTATAAAATACACTCACTGTGAACCAATAGGCAATTACAAGGCACTGAAAAGTTAAGGGAGGCATGAAAGGTAGCATTTTAGAAAGCTTAATCTCAAAGGGGAGCAAGGGACATATTAGATGAAAGACCAAAAAAGTAAAATGGTACATAAACAAATAAGGTAGAGAATACCGGCATTATTTAGATTTTTTAAGTCAAAGAAAATCTACTGCTGAAGCTAAAGTAACTGCTTATCTATATCAATGAAATTTATCAATTCTACTTTTCTTATAAAACTGATTAAGTATGATTTAGACTATTTTATTAAAACCTTTTCCTATATTTCTAAAGTATCACATAATGAACTATGTTTGTGTAAAAAAATCTCCTTTAATTTAGCAAAATTAGGACAGTTGTTATTACTGGTCCTAAACCTCTCCCAAAAGGAAATAAATGCTGCTTCAGAGTTTGGGCACTAGAAGAAATCATTTATTGGTCAATGTAACTAACTCCTCCCCAAACTGAGCAATGTGCTTTGCTACTCCCCTAGGAAAGTCTAGGTATGTACCCCATAAATATACCACAGAAAAACTAAATTATTATCTTTGAAATAATGGCTACTAAACTAAATGTGTAAAAATCATGAAACATTTTCCAAAAATAATAAAGTTTCCCAAAAAGAAAAAAAAGGTTTATGATGTTCTTCATACTTTCCATTTCTGTCCCATTATATTTAATTTTTTTCATATTTAACAGCATGCCTAAAATAACAAATCTAACATTTTAAATGCTTTATAATTTTTATTATTAAAAAGCACAGATTTCACTTGAAACTCAGTTCATTTGATACACTGGTTTATTCTAAAAAATTTCACACAAATTCAATTTTTGTAACTCAAATAGTAGAAACATCCTGGAAAGATGTCCATTTAAGGAAGTCAGTGCTATAACAAATTCTTTTCTAAAATTGAGATACACCAATGTATAGTGAACATCAGCCCAGATTAATGTTTTCCTAAATTGGGATTTTGTATTTTCTTCAAGTTTGCCCTTTTTAGATGGTACTATAAAAACTGGCTTAAACGTAGCATTGAAATTACTCCCATCATAATAGATCAGAAATGTGATATATTGGAGTGTAGTTTTCAGAATAGTGACTGTATGATGCTGAGTAGCATGGACCCAATCAATCAACGGCAAGTTTCACTGCTTGCTCCCAGCTGCAGGAGGCCCCGGCTCATAGCAGCAGACACACAATCTTTATCATCATCCTTCAGTTTGAATCCTGCATCTGTCAATTAGTTTGAGATACTGCCACCCATTCCAAATGGTGGATGTATGCGTACCATAGACAAACAGGGGTTGCTATTACCTACCTCCTAGGAATACTGTGAAGTTTAATGAGACAACTTGAATGAAGTTCTGGACATATAGTAGGTCCTTTCTGTCCCAGGCTCTTTATATTTCTGTTTTCCCGATAAGTGACACAAGAAGCTACAGACTGTTAAAAGGAAAACAGTGCCTCATTCATCCTTTTGTCAGGATTATAAATGGAATATTTTTTAAAATACACATAAAAGGTGACAGCTATGAAGAGAAAACAAACAAATGCCAAATATTATGTCAGAAAATTTCAGGCCTCCTTTCATGGAGCTCTCTCGAAATTATTTCCCACTTACGTGAGGCTTTATATTTTAAAGAGTAACAACTATGGCCCTAGCCACTGTGGATCAGTTGGTTGGGCATTGTCCTTCTCTAAAAAAATAAAAAATAAAAGAATAACAACTACAAAATAAAAACTTATTCTACTTCCATAAGTACCTATCCTACTTCAAAAGAACCTTATTTTTCCTTGATCTGCATTTGTTAATATCATTTCCACAGTGGATTTGTGGCAGCTAAAAGAATGACTTAGGAGCCCGTCCAGAGTGGCTCAGTGGTTGAGTGTCAACCCATGCACCAAGAGGTCGCCAGTTCAATTCTCAGTCAGGGCACAGCCCAGGTTGTGGGCCAAATCCCCAGTGGGGAGCATGCAGGAGGCAGCCAATCGATGTTCTATTTCATCGATGTTTCTATCTCTCCCTCTCCTTTCCTCTCTCTCTAAAATCAATAAAGAAAAAATGTTTTAAAGAATGACGTAGGAAGTAGGAGAATGGATACACTGAGTCTTAGCCCACCTTCTTCCAAATGCTATCATTTAATTATGACTGTGGTTCACAGCCAAAGCTGCTTCGCCTGGACACATCCTACAAGAATGTGTTTCACATGCAAAGATCAAATCCTCCGGAAAAAAAACAAACTTTTATAGAAAAAATATTAAGGTGAACACATCTGCTTCTTCCCCTTGTATTACTTATTTTTTGTTTCTAAGAAACACTATTGTAAAGAGTGAGGGAAAAGAAAACATGAAAATGACAAAGGGGAAAAAACATACCCTAAAGGAACAGAAGTTACAATGAGAAACTCATGATAGAAAGAAAATGCAGGATGATAGTCAAACAACTTAAGAAAGTTTACCAGGAATAAATGGTGTGGGGATCAACTTTTTAAAACTCTAGAGATTTAAAATTATTTTACAAATCTAAATAAGCTCACAAGACCTTTATTGTGCTGGGTAATGATATATGTGCATTTAAATTAGTTACATCAAGAAAATAAAAGAAAGCACAAAAATGTAAGTATACTTAGAACTATTAAAATGTACACTTAAAATGGTCAAGATGGTCAATTTTATGTCCTTTTTTAACCACAATTAATAAAAATGTATAAATAAAATAAAGGTAAGGATTGCACAGAACAATCTACGATTCTTACACACTTAAAATGGAGGCCTCAAACATTTAGGAGTTCTCTTTTAAAACATACTGCTTAATTTTATAGGGAAACAAAACCAGGAATTTCACTTACAAAGATACTAAGTATTAAGTGATTTCTAGAAGTTCCTAATATAATAAGTCCTCACCACTATCAACAGGTTTCCCAACTTTAAGCCATAGGATATATATATCCAAACAATTTTCTCACTGGCTAACTGACATAAACAGGAGTTAAGTTCCTATGTCACCTCATCTACGTGAGAATGAACAAATGATGTTATTCTAAGACCTCATAAAAGGATAGATATCTTTCTATCTTGGCTGTCAGTGAAAACTTTGATCCTGTAAATATCCTGTAAATACTAATTTGTAGAGTTGGGGTTTTTTGCTGTGTGTGTTTTTAACTACATAAAAGCAAAGATACTACACTTGGGGAAACACATCAGTCCCAAGAGGACACAAAAACTACTGCAGCTTTTTAAATATATTCATTACATTGGTTTCCTCAAAACCCTGAAAAGGAAATTCCCTATCACTTCTGGCCAACATCATAGGACCTCTTAAGAGAGGTATTCTAAAAACTGTACGTTTTTGCAAATTCATTATTAGAGAGTATAATGTAGATTCCTTTAATGTTAAATTAACAAGTAAAACCCATTAGATTGAAAAATAATCGATTTTCACAAATGTGTATGTATATATATGTAATTTTTTTAACCCTAAGTTATCAGAAAAAAACATTTTATTAGTCTTAAAATTATATTAACTGAATTCCATTAAGAAAAATAGAAATATTAGTGAGCAACATTACCGAGTTAATGAAGAAGGAAAATAAAACAAGGGGGACATAAATATACATAAGGGGTTCATTCATTTCGAAACCCTACAGATTTTTTAAAAAATTCCAAGCAGAACTTAAAACAGTATTTCTGGAAACCAGATTCTGTTCTAAAACTCTAGAGAAGCTCAAAGGTTACCTACCCCAACAAAAATCACCACTAAAATTCTCTGTTACTGGAAAATAAAAGGAATACTATATTTAATACATCATGTGTGTGGTAGGGAGGGGGAAGGGAACAGAATTCACTCTTTCAGTGGGTATACCTCTGTCATTTAAAGAAGCATCCTAAAGCATGGCTGCATCAAAGCATATAGTTTATGAAATATACAATATGTACAACTATGTGCACAACAAACGTGTTTGATGAATTTTAACAAATAGGCAACAGATGTGTGTTACTACAGCAATTAATATAGAGAACATTTCCATCCTTTCAGAAAGTTCCTTCATGACCCTTTACAGTCAATTCCCCACCCCAGTCCAGTCAACCACTTGTCTGATTTCGATCACTATATATAGCTCAGATTTCCTGTTCTAAAACTTCAGATAAATGGAAACATATAGCATGTATCTGGCTTCTTTTGTTCAGCCGCATAATTTTTTAATGATTTTTTATTGTTTTTTTAGATAAAGGAAGGAAGAGGGAGAGAGAGTGAAACATCAATCAGCTGCCTCCTGCACGCCCCACACCGGGGGACCAAGCCTGCAACCAGGGCATGTACACCCACTCGGAGTCAAACCAGTGACCTCCCAGTGCACAGGATGACGCCCAACCAACTAAGCCACACTGGCCAGGGCCAGTATAACATTTCTGAGATCCACTCATGTAGTTGTTATGATTATTACTAGTTTGTCCTTTTTTATTGCTGAATAGTATCCCATTATATGAATATTACAATTTATTCAATCATTTACTCTGTTGATGGACATTTGGGTTTTTCCCAGTTTGGGGCTGTTTGAATAAAGCCACTATGAACAACCCTTTTTGTGGACATGTGCTTAATTCCTCTTAGATACATGGTGAATAATATGGTAACTATATGTTAAACTTCACAGGAAACTTTCTAAGAAACTGCCAATTTGTTTTCCAAAGTGGTAGTACAGTTGACACTCCCACCAGCAAACTGAGATCTAGTTTGCTTCACATTCTCCCCTATACTTGGCATTGTCAGTTTTAATATGTTTAGCTATTTTATTTCATTGTGGCTTTAATTTGCATTTCCCTGATGGCTTGTGATATTGAGCATTTTTTCATGTGCTGACTGGTCATTTGCATACCTATTTTTTGTGAAGTATCTAGGTCTTTCAAACATTTGAAAAACAGGGTTGATTACTTGTTACAACATTTTTGTTAAGTTGTAACTCAAGCTAAGTTATAAATCAAGAGTTCTTTACATATTCTAGATACAAGTCTTTTGTATTATGAATATTTTCTCCCAGTCTTGCCTTTTCATTTTCTTAACAGTTTCTTTGGAAGAGCAGATGGCCTTGATTTTGATGAAGTCCAATTTATCAGTTTTTTATTTTACAAAATAGTGCTTTTTGTGTTCTAAGAAATACTTGCCTATCCCAAAGTTGGTATGATTTTGTCCTGTTTTCTTCTAAAACTTTTATATTTGAGTCTAAGAGGCATTACAAATGACATTGTATGAGGATAAAGTCAAGAGGTCGAGGTTCATATTTTCCCATACCAATATCCAGTTGTTTTAACACCACTTGTTGATCAAAGGGCAAACTGACCATTTATGTATGGGTATATTTGTCAGTTCTATTCTGCTCCATTGATCTAGATATCTTTCATCATGACAATAACACACTGTCTTGATTCTTGAAGCTTTAAAATAAACCTTGAAATAAGATAGTGTGAGATTTCCAAGTTTGTTCTCCATTTTCAAAATAAATCCAGGCTCTCCTAGTCTTTCATTTTCACATGAATTTTAGTACCAACTTATCACTTTATATAATTTTTTTCTCTCAATGCTGAGTCAAAAAAATAAAAGGAGCTTGGCAAACGATATTAAATATATAACCTCATTTTAGTTCAATCAAATCTATAAATAAAAGTACATGCAAAAAAGAAACTGAACCCATACCCTGGCCAGTTTGGGTCAGCGGTTAGAGTATCAGCCCTCAGACCAGAGTCAAGGGTTCAATTCCGGTCAAGGGCACGTACCTCAGTTGAATTCGGTCCCTAGCCCTGGTCAGGGTCATGTGGGAGGCAACCAATCGATGTGTCTCTCTCACATCTATGTTTCTCTCTCTCTCTCTCTACCTCTCCCTCCTTCCCACTCTGTCTGAAAATGAATGGATAAACATTCTCGGGTGAGGATTAAAAAAAGAAAGTAGGAAACTGAACCCATATACAAAAATATGTAAAAGAATTCTCTCTAAAGGGTGAGATTATAAAGATTATTTTTCTTTTTGATGATCTTTATTTTCCAAAACTTATAACTTTATAAGGAAAAAGGTATATATAATTAATAAGCATAGCCTTTATAACTTAAGTAGGAAAAAAAAAAGTAACTGATACTCAGTCATCCTGTTTCTCATCCTTAATCTCATATTTTATTTGTAAATGTAAAAAAAGGTATAAAACGATAAACTACAAACTATTAACTCTTCTCAGGATTCATGATATTGGCAAGAATAATGAAGGAAAGACTTTCCATTTTTATTTTATATACTTCTCTAATGCCTGATTGTTGTTACAATGACCATATTTTATGTATTTAAGAAAAATTAAAATATTCACCAATAAAAATAAAATATACGTATGCATGATATTAGCTGAATTGAAGAACACATGAGAAGATCGTCCTTGAGGAAGGCTACCCAACTCTATGTTTGCTATTTAAATTCTGAGTTCAAGAAAAGCCTTTTCTTGGCTAGGAGTTTGCCTGTGGCACCAGGTAGAGATAGCTGCTTCAGAAAATCCAAAACAGATTGATCGTGTGTCACTGGGAATCAGAAGCAACCAGAATACGTTATTTCAATAACTGACAAAAATAGCTAGAAATTAAAACTGTAGGTAAAAATAATGAGATTCAGAAGATAAAGAGCTATAATCCAATGTGTGGAATAGAAGTGTTAAATGTAAACAACATCCTAGGCAACTGTGCCCTTACTACTGGTATTCAGCCCACATTTGGTGATATTGGTTCAGATTTAGGGACTTCAGTACATCAAAGATGAACCTGTTAGAGATTCTTACACACCGAGGGCAGTCAACTAGCTCAGGTGTCAAACTACCTGGAAGTCACAGTACTTTCTGAGGAACTCTGCCCTTACAGAACATCATGAAATATCAATATATATAATTCCACCCCATGAACCAGAAACCTTTTATTAGCAGAAAAT